CGTGCGGGGAGCGGCCAACGACCACCCGCGACGGTTTCGCGCAGCCGCACTGACGGTGCGTGGCCACACCCGCCGGGGCTCTGCGCAAGCGCAGTAGCTGGGTGGGGCGGCCAACGGTCAACGCCTTTAGCGGCTCGGATGATCCGCGGGTGGGCAGCTCCTCGCTGCAGCGCTGGGCGGCGTGGCCCCCGTGTCCTTCCTCCACCTCTGAGCCAGTGGCCATGAGCTGCGCTGTGCGATTCCTGCGGGCCAGCCGCGCGGTGGGCGCCGCCAGAGCGGGCTTCCTGTGCCCGGGGCTGGTGTCCAGTGACCTCCTGCTCGGCGCCGCCTGGCGCGGCGCCCCCGTGTCCAAGATGGGGACAGTCAAGTGCGGGCTGATGAAGAACTTCACCCGGGAAGAGGGCACCTGTCACAACAAAATCTCCATCATCGGAACCGGGTCGGTGGGCATGGCCTGCGCTGTCAGCCTCCTGCTGAAAGGCCTGAGCGACGAGCTGGCCTTGGTCGACATTAATGAAAGCAGAATGGTGGGCGAGACCATGGACCTGCAGCACGGCAGCTGCTTCGTGAAGATGCCGACTATCGTGTCCAGCAAGGATTACCGGGTCACCGCCAACTCCAACATCGTGGTCATCACGGCGGGCGTCCGCCAGGAGAAGGGAGAGACGCGCCTCGACTTAGTCCAGCGCAACGTGGCCATCTTTAAGTTGATAATTTCCAATATCATCCACTACAGCCCGTGCTGCAAAATGATCATCGTTTCCAACCCGGTGGATATCTTGACCTTCGCGGCCTGGAAGCTGAGTCATTTTCCCGCCAACCGTATTATCGGAAGTGGTTGTAACCTGGACACTGCCCGCTTCCGTTTCCTGCTTGGGCAGAAGCTGGGGATCCACCCCGAGAGCTGCCACGGGTGGATCCTGGGGGAGCACGGAGACTCGAGCGTGCCAGTCTGGAGCGGGGTGAACATCGCCGGCGTCCCCCTGAGGGCGCTGAACCCGCACATCGGCACTGACCGCGATCCGGAGCAGTGGAGCACCGTCCACAGAGAGGTGATAGCCAGCGCCTACGAGATCATTAAGAAGAAGGGGTACACCTCTTGGGCCGTCGGCTTATCGGTCGCCGACATCGCGGAAAGTATCCTGAGGAATCTGAGGCGAGTGCACCCCGTGTCCACCAGAATTAAGGGTCTGTATGGAATAAATAAAGACGTGTTTCTCAGTGTGCCCTGCATCCTGGGCGAGAACGGCATCACAGACCTGGTCATGGTCAAGCTCTCCCCGGAGGAGGAGGCCAGCCTGAAGAAGAGCGCCGACATGCTCTGGAAGATTCAGGAGCCGCTCAAGCTTTAAGTCATGTCAAAGTAGCATTTGGAAGTCACTGAAGAAGAGGTGGTAGTGAGGGGATTGCACAGGTCATTTTTAAGTTCTAAAAGAAATAAAGGGATAGAGTGACCCCAGTTTATTTAGCCCCCAAATACTGGGTGATTTTTTACTGTTCTTCAGTGACTGAGTACATGTTTTGGGACCACAGCTCTCGGGGTGAGGACGTGGTTGTCACCTGCCCCACCCCCCATGGTGGAGCCACCCGTTGTGTTGAGATGCCTATTCTTGTCACCGAGTCATGTTACTTTCCTGATAGCTGTGTTTATTTAAAAGCCATTTCTTAGAAAGTATAAAAATAAACATATGGGCAAAAGTGCTTTCTGGGGGTGCCTTCATTCCCTGTGACAGCCTGTCAGCGCGGCCCTTTGAATGTGTGTGGGGGCGGGTGTCCCCTCTCAGGGACGTAGAGCACGTGAAACGGTAGTGTGCCATACATTAAAATACAAAACCTTTGAAACGAGGCCTGACAGGTGACAGTTATTGTTTATTGGGCAGAGAAGAAAACTTACCTAAGTGATGCAGTTACTGAAAAGAAAGCCTGGCTGAGTCCAGTCAGATCAGCAGTACCTCAGAACCAGTCCGGTCAGCACATTCACACGGAAAGGGTTAGCAGTTGCTGTTCCTGGACTGGCGAGCAGCAGAGTGGGCTGGGCCCAGTCCGAAGGCGCCCAGGGCTCATTTTACTTCGCATCTGACAGCATTCGCTACTGAATTGTGCCCTTGCACTCATCATAATTAAAACTGGCTGTTGAGTGAGTGCTTCAGGGATTGCTTCACTCTTTCATGTGTTTGCTTTGTATCCTAAAGTCAATTGACTGTACAGATTTTGTGCATTTCATAGAGGGGTTAGGAGAAAGTGAAGATGCTGTCTGAACGCTGAAATGGTGGTGTGAATGAATCACTTAGAAAATGAGAAATTGAGATTTAAAAATTCATGTGTGTCTTCCCATGCAGTTGAATATTGGGTCATACGCTGCATTTAAAATGTCGGAGGTCATGTGTGTGCCAGCGCCTCGTCACCACAACGGTACCAGCTTCTGCTGGCTAAACTGAGCTCGTCCTGCTCAGGACACAGGACGGTGATCCTGCCACCCCCAAAATGGGTTTGCTTTTACCTGTGCTGATCTGAGCTCCCCTACCATTTTGTCAGACACTTAGGAGTGTTCTGGTTCCCCGGGAATTAGTGTCTCGTGATGGTTTTATCTGATAAGCTGAGCTCCTTGAGCGTGAGGAGGGGGTGGTTTGTTTGTTCCTCTGGATTCTCAGAGCTTTTTCAGTTCACCTGCCACTGAGTGTCAGTTCCTTCGTCCAGCCATTGAGTTTGTAAGTCAGCCATGTGCCTGCCAAGTTGAATGTAGTACTGTAGGCCTCAGAGCAGGTCTTCTGTTTTGTAATTGTCTCCACCTCTGTCAGGTTCAGCTGGGTTATACTGTAGTAAAAACGAACCTCCAAGTGTATGGCTTATTTAAGGTTTATTTCTCATAAGATCTCTGTGACTAGGAAGCCCCTGCCGCAAGCTGACCCTTGCCCGGGTAGCTTGAGCTCTAGGCACTTCCAAGAGCGACACAGGGCTCCGCGGTTACCATGAAATCAAGGGCAGAAGCAAACACCTGCAAGTAAACACTTGAACCTGGAGGTGGCCCACCCTGCTCGCACCTCCCTGACCCAGAAGGCCATCACTGGCTGCCTACTTGCGAGAGGCTGCGGCAGTATCGCCCAGAAGCAGGTGAGAGCTGGTTGTTGGTGAACCTCTAGCAATCTGCCGGCCACGTTGCCTGAAATGGCCGCCACTGGGAGGTGTGTGAATGCTTTGAAGTTGTGCTTAGTGAAAGCCGACACGCCAGTGCACGTGCAGAGGGCACCAGGTCTTTCCTGGCCCCAGAAACAGCGCCTGAGACAGATCCCTGCCTCGGGCAGGCTGCGGTGCCCAGCCACGACGGGTTACCCTCTCTGCCTCTGGTTTCTCTTAGCTGAAGGGGTGCGCCTCATTCTGCCACACAAGAGCAAATGGCCCCGTGCTTGGTACAGTGCCTGCCGGTGTGTGTGGAGACTCCAGCTTGTTCAGAATTACTCAGAGGCATAACCAGAGGCTTTCTCATCCTTGATCCTAGAATGCTTTCATCACTGTGAGCCCAGAAGGGGCCGGGCAGCCCCCCACACCGGCATGTGCGGAAGGGAAGCCGCGTGAGCTAGTCAGCGGCGGACATTTCAAACTTGGGGCTTTTGACACCATTAACTGCCTATTGGAATGAATGCTGCAAGTATTCTCTGAAATGAACTGCATCGAGAGGTTGCCCTGCTTCCCAGCCCACCGTGTAGCAGACCCAAAGTTTTATTGTGCTGCTCTTTTCTGGCGAAGTTCTTTCCTGCCTGGTCAAGTTGCAGGAGTATTGGAGCCTCACCCCTGGCCAGAGTGGGTGGCCCTCAACAAGCCGTTGAAATGTGAGAGAGTCCCGTTACCAGAAGCCATAATCTGTGTCCTAGAGTCTAACAGTCGGCTGCAACCAGCCCTCAGGTGCCCACGCCGTGACAGCTGTTCGGAATACCCCGCCTGGGCGCGCTCGTTGGCGGCCGCTGCTGTAGCTTGCCGTGGTCTCCCGCGGGCCAGCCTGGCGCTGATGGACACAGTCTCCGGCACTGAGGGGCGAGGTCCCTGCAGCAGTGGCCGGCTGGCCTGGCAAGTGCCTTCCTGTCTGAGACTGCAGGGGTGGCATCGTGGGGCACAGGTGCGCTCCATCCAAATCGCAGGAAAAGTCTTTCTGGCAAAAGGAGAGAGGGGCAACAGGGACGAGACCCCAGAGTCCAGACATGCTTGAGCGGGTACCTGAGTTGCCCGCCCGAGACGCCCATTCCCAGCAGGTCCCGTGTCCATCAAACGTGGAGGGTACGAGGTGGGGGGCTCCGTGGCAAAGTTAGGGCTGTCATCGTGGAATTCGCTTATAGCCCAGGTTCAGTGAAGGACTGAACCTAAAGCTGTTTCCAAACTCACTTTTGAGTGGGAAAACACTCAAAAGGTCCAGAGGGTGAGTGACCCTTCTCTGGGCTGGCCGTGCACGCGGGTCTCCAGACCTATGACACCCCCCTCCTGCCCCACTAGGAGTGAGCCGAGGCCTCCCTGTTTCTGGCTTATATGTGACTCGGCTTCCATTGCCACCGCTGTGAAGTCCACGAGGGCTGACGGTGCCCTTCCCCCACCCGCCTCTCTCCCTTTACTTCCCCCAACCCCTGCTGCCCTGGCGGCTACTTTCAGCCACGATTCCTCCCAGTGTCATGACCTGGGGACAGACAGACAATACCACACTTGGCCGTGAGAGGGAAGAGAAAGATCAGGCCGCGGGGTGTGTGTGTGTGTGTTGGGGGGGGACAGAAACAGGCACGCTGAGGTAACTCTCCTACCCTGGCTCGCGGGCTCCAGCCTCTCCCCTCTCGGCATCTGGCCCTGTCCTGTAGCACCGAGAAGGTTCACGTCCTGCCATTCTGCTGGGTTGTGACGGATGTTCACCCCAAAAGGGGGAGGGGAAGAATCAGGCCACATGAGTCAGACCCTGGCCCGAGAAGCCCAGCTCTCAGCCCGGAACGCCGACCCTGGCTTCCTCAGCACAGGCACTGTCGGTGAAGCACCCGCCCTCCCTGCCGGCCGTGTGCCAGCCTCTCGTGAGGGTTTGCAGGCAGCCTGGGCTGCACGGAAGAGGGGCTGGCACAGACTCACGCCCTGTGCTGGACAGCTGGCACACACCTGCCACAGACTGCCCGTAAGGGATAGCCCCGGGTGTCCTCCAGGTCAGGACAGGGAAATCCGGATGACGGCAGCTCTGAAGTGGCACTTGTAATGACACAGCCTGAGCTCTGGTCTTGGACCAGCGCGCACTTGGGTGACACTGGGATGGCAGACGCTAACCACGCTGAGCCCTCGCCACGCGCCCACCCCCAAGGCGCTGAGCTGGCGACGTCCGCGGTCCTGCCAGTGGACGGTTACCGCCATGTCCACCTGGCAAGTGCCGCAGGGCAGCTCTGCCCGGTGCGGGTGCACGCAGAGGCCTGCCTGGCCCGGAGTCTCTGCCACTGCTGCAGTGTGCCAGCCTGACTACACTGGGCACGCAGCACCCAGGAAGACGCACCGTGCAGATTTGGAAGCAAGGTGAGGGCTCAACTGCAAACGGAAATTAAAAGCATCAGCATAAATTTCTCAGACTGACCACTCTGAAAATGACGTGCATGTTGCTGGTTATTTGGGGGTGCTTCCCCCACCTGATGGAGCTCTGTGCCCTGGGAGGTACATGGGGTGGACGGGTGAGGAGGCGCGGCAGGAGCGCTTCTGCAGTAGCGTCTCCACCACAGGCCACAAGATTAGAAGGAACCAGAGAGCTTGTCCCCGTAGGAAGGCATCGCCCCCGCTTTAGTGCCCCTGCTCCCTGGGGCCAGGGGACCCCGAAATGGAAGCAGCTGTCCAGGTTGGCACCACAGAGAAACATCCTCCAGCCCCGGCTCAACTCCCTGATTCCATCCACCTCTTCTGGGAAAACCTTTGCGTAGATTTTCCAACCCTTTGGGCCCCTGAAAGCATTCTAGTTTATCAGCTATTCACTGACTTGTTCTTTATTAGCAACCCCGAAGTTTCCCCACTCCTCCCTGATCTGTAACTCCTCAGAGCTGGAAACCGGGTGCACAGCTGCACCCCCGCCCGGGAGAGGCGGCAGAACATACCGTCTGGCCGAGAATCAAATACGGGGAGGGCTGAAAACGGAGCGCCTGCTGCCCCCCGACTCAGGACGTCCTGCCAGGCCGCAGATCCGGGGCGGAAGAACAGAGTGTCCCTGTGTCCTGGGAGCCGGGGTGCAGCTGGCCTCTGACGGGCCTTCCTGGGAGCACCCCAGTCGCTTTGGCTCTCTTCCCTTCTCTGAACGTTCCGTGACAGATTTTCTTTTTTCCTTTCAGATGAAAGACTTTCGAAATAAGATGCAGTCAATATTTCCAGCAATTCCCAAGAGCCCCGAGTCGGCTGCCGAGTGGGAAGAAGTATTGAAGTCCAAGTGAGAGGCGCGGGGTGAGCGACTGTTGGGGCCGGCGTGGCTCCCGCCCACCACAGCCAAGGGACTGGACTAATGTCTTCATGTCTCCTCGGGGACCCTGCAGACTGCTGACTGAGCGCTGGCTGGGTGGCCTCAGTGGGGGGGGAGGGAGAGGGGTGCAGAGGGGTGCCATCCCTCTCTGCTTTCAAGTGCACATGAGCCCCTGTGCACACATACACAAGAGCACAACATCCGGGGAAGGTGAAGTTTCCCCAAAGTTTAGGGAAACTATTTAGAAATAATTTCACTTCTTTAGGCAAAGGAGATCCTCGTAGAAATAGCCCTTTGCTTATGACTATAAAGTTGAAACCAAGTTTTATATCTCAAAAAAAATAGCGCCTGAGGAAAAGTCTTATAAGCAGACCTCGGCCAGCCGTGGTGCCTCGGTGTCTCACGCAGCTTCACCGCCTTCGCCTTCGTTGTCCGTTTGTCTGTCGGAGCTCGGAGGGCCTGACCCAGTCAGGCGGCTCCCGGGGGCGGTGGGGAGGGCGAGGCTCCAGCCGGCTGGTCCCTGAGTCAGGTGCGCTGTCTCGGGAAAGCGCGCAAGGCTTGTATTTAGACAGAGGGCCAAAGGCAGAGGGCGCAGCTTGAGGCGCTCGCTATGGTTTGAGGATGAAGACACTGGGTGAGAAGCCCGGCCGAGTCTGCGCCCACACAGTGGCCGTTCGTTGCCATTGTCGCGGGAAAAATAGCCCAGCCTTCACCTATTTGGAACAGAAAGTTACCTGGGTGTTGAATAACTCCATAACAGTAGTTAGCACCCACCACCTCCTGCAGGAAATCACCCAGCCCTTTCCTGCCTCCGTGATACCTCACAGAAAACAGAGTAACGTCGACATGCAATTATTTTTACTGGAGAGTAAAATCTAGGGAAGCAGAGAAATATTTTAATATGTTAATATGCCCAGAAGAGTAACCTCTAGTTATTTTAATATCAGTTGTGCAATTTCTTTATAATTGCCTAGCCTCTAATTAGCAATCGAGTTTAATAAAAGACATTTGAAAATTTATGTGTTATAATGAAACCTTTTAGTTCTAAGGAAATTTTTTAAATGAAATGTCAAGTGCCTAATGTAACATCTTTCTCTGGACTATGTTACCCTTTGAAAATTGCTGTATTGTTAATTAAACAGGTGGACTCAGTGTCTAGGACTCATGTGTGACCTGTTCAAAACCCAAGACCTAAAGGAAAGGCGTGCCGGTGGGGGGCAAGAGCTTCACCCAGCTTTCGTTTCTCACTAGATCTCCCTAAGAAAATATTTCTAACCAGGAAGGAAAGAAAGGCACCAAACTGAACAGATTTCTGTCAATATTCTGAGTCTATAGTTATTCTAGGCTCCCCTTGGTAGTGTAATGGAAACCACTGAAAGCTGTTTAAAGCCAGAATCTAGACTTTTATTTGTTTTAGATGTAGAATACCTATTGATTTCTAAAAGCTCTCTAGTGGGTTAGAGAAAATGAGAATTTCTAGCTTGTCTGGGATAACCAAAGGGGAGGTTATGGCTGGCTCTAATAGGTTCTTGCTTGTAATCTCCTTATGGCTGCGGCGAGGCGGGGAGCAGGTGATATGCTCCCCCCACCACGGGGGCCTGGCTCCAGTTGCCCAGGGCTGGGCTGGGCTGGGCTGGGGCTGCTACTTGACTGTGTGGCGTGACTTATGCTTGTGAAGCTCTTTCCAGAGCACTGAGGACGGCAGGGGACTCCCTAGAGGGCGGACCGGCCTGCAGAGGGCAGCCTGCAGGGACAGGCTCCCCAGACAGGGACCAGCTCAGGCTCCAGATGCCTTTCAAAAGCAAACAGGACGCAACAACGAGGACAATTTAAAGGAAAACATGCACTATAACATCAGGGGTATTTTGTTTTTTTACAGTCACAACTCAGATATCAGAAGATTTAGTCATTTGTCTACTCCTTTATACTAGGGACATATTGTTAAATTGGTTAATGGAAAGGAAAAATGTTTAACAGATAATGTTATTCTTTATGTGAAGTACCATCTGTGTATTGAGTTCTGAATGTTCCTGGATATGGAAGAGAGGAAATGTTATGGAATTTCAAGTTTGCCTTCTTGCCGTCTTTATCTCGGGTGGAGTGTGACAAACATAATCACATTTATCTCCTGGAGCATAAAGAGTTTTAATCACCCTATTAACCAGGATGACATTTTTCACAGACTTAAAAAGGAATAGAACAGACATTATCTCCCCATAAGCAATCCATTTCATGGAGGCTGAGCACTAGAAATTTTTTAAAGGATGGGTAACACAATTTCCATTTTGTGGGTAAGCCAACATTACCGCGGCTGCAGCGAGAATGCTCCTTACACAGGCTGAGTGTTCAGCTTCGCGTTTAGCTCGTAGAGAGAGCAATATTGAGGGAACGCGACGTGCAGGGAGGGGCGCTGCGGAAGCCTCGGGATTCATTCAAGGGGAAAAAAATATGTATTCTGCTAAGTTACTGCTGCCTTGTAAAAATGCTGTTATTTCCAGTGGAGAAATCAGGATTTCTGAATAACCTGGGAATGAAAAACAGGGCATGGGAACTGTCTGCAGAGGCCCAGCGCAGTCTGGGCGAGGAGCTGGGGAGCCAGGGAGCCGGGCGACACAGCCCAGGCTCCAGGTGAGCGCCCCCCACTGGGCTCTGGCCAGGCGGGGTGCTCTGCGCATGCTCGAGGAAGGGGGCGGGGGGTGTGGGGCTGGGGTTCCTTCCACTGTGTTCCGCGGATAATGTGGGGCTCAACTTGCAAACTAAATATCAGAAGTTGGGGGAAAGGTGAGAAGCCCATGGCGACAAAAGTGATTAAAATCCACTGAATTCAACTATTCCCCTGGGGCCAAGTTTAATGTCTCCTGGTTTGGGTTCGTGGAGAATGTTGCATATTTTTCAGCTCCTTGTTACGTGTCTTCCTTCAAAAGTGAAACCAAGAGTTAAGTATGAATGAACACCAGCCAGGGAAAAGTAATATTTTTTTTCTCCAAATACATTCTTAAACATCTCATGGAAGGTAATAGAAAACACACTTGCACAAACGGCCGTCATGTTGGAGTGAGAGGTTTCTCCTCCCTGCCGAGAGCCCCTGAGTGCTCTGTATTTGCGTTTCCGTGTTGGTCTACCAGGACTCCTCAAAGGCTGCATTCCGGGAGGTCAGAGGGAGGTAGGCGGCTCTTGCACGCAGTGCCGTTCACTTGTTTGAGGTAAATGCCTCTGTTTCAGAGAGAATTTAAAAAGCGGTCACCACGGAGCACACCCAGCTTCTACTTTTCTGCCAAGTGTTTGCTGAGGGATGCAGGCCCTTGATGGACCCTCTGCCTCACTGTCATTTGATGAGGTGTCATCACTTACTGAAAGAAAAAAGAATGGCCAGAGAGTGTAGAAATATTCTTAATGGCAGAGGAAGGTGGTGGGTTGTTTTTGTTTGTTTGTTTGTTTGTTTTAGGTATAATTTTTTAAAATTTTATAATAATTTATTTTTACATATTTTTGTGCATTTTCCCATCTCAGTTGCAATCCCCTTGGGTTTCCTATCACCAAATCACCCGTGTGCCCTCACCACAGTCCATTGTAATTTTTCTTATATAAAGGTAATTGTATATGGCTTAGAGGTACAGGTCCGCACCTCTTCAGGTGCACGCTACAACTCGACACCCACCACCAGTGTCCCCAAAGGCCCCCACCACAGTCCATGGGCTCCTCACCCTCCACAATTCCCCAGTGGTCGCTTCACTTCTGTCCGATTTCTAGGATTAATTTTGGTTTCGTTTTACAGTTCCTTTGTTTCTTTAAAGCCCGTGTATGAGCGAAGTCATTAAGTATTTGTCTTTGTCCTGACTTTTTGCTCAGCATCATCCTTTCCATTTCCATTCATTGTTGCTACAAATGGCAAGATTTTGTCTTTTTTGTAGCTGAGTAGTACTCCCCTGCGTGGTATTGACCACATCCTAATCCACTGCGTCTTTGTCTTTGGGCACGTAAGTGGCTTCCATAGATTTGTTCTTGTCCATGGGGCTGCGGGGGTCACAGGAGTGCAGATATGCCCAAGGCGAGCCCCAGCGGACTCACCTAGGAAGCTGAGCCTGCAAACTGAGTAACTCGGCACACTTGTAGAACTCCGACTACCTGTGATCTGAAACCACTGCAAAATTTCATCCTCACACTGCCCCTGACCTCCGGGCTCAGAGTGGGGTTCCAGGTCTGCAGCTGGACAGACACCGCTCCATGGGACATGGCTGGGTGGCGCCTGGGACACAGGCCTTGGGAGTGCAGGTCGGCTGTCGGACAGAACAAGTGACAGACGAGTAGAAAAGAAGACTTGGCCATGACGCCGTACTGAGCTGTGCCAGACTGCTGGCCTGGTGATAGGGATGTGTTTATTGCCTCAGTGGGCGCCTTCATCTGGAAACCCAGGCGGTCCCCACAGCCACCCTGGCCTCTGTGCCCCCCACCTCCCTTCAGTCCTCAGTGGCCACAGTTACATAAAAGTTCACAAAGCTAGGAAAATTCCAGTAAATCTCATGCAAAACTAACATAAGACCTCTTATCAAAAGGTAAGAATGGCTGAGGGAGCCCTTTGCTACGCCTTGCCGGGGGCCAGCCATGGTTCTCTTTTCAGAGATTTTTGTTACAAATGATGGTAGTAAAATATCTGGAAACAGCACAAAATCAAGTCTCCTGAAAAAGGAGGGGGGAGGCTTTTCTGCAACATAAGAGTCATTTAGTACCTGGGGAGGCGGCCGTTTCCAGCTTTCTCCAGAGTTGGAGGTAGGATACATCGGCCTGCAGGAGGCTGCCCCAGCTCAACAGACCAGGCTGTGTGGCAGTTCACTGTCTCTCCAAAGCCCACTGGGAAGATCCAAATTCAGTCACTGATGTGCCTACTGATGATGAGCTGGGGGCGGAATCTGTTCTGCACAGGAGCCTTAAGTCCTGTGCTCCAGATACTCCCAAAGGAGCAGGGAGTGAAGGGTTAACGCGTGCAGCCCAGACCTCAGAGAATCACCCTCGCAGGAGGGAGCGTCCAGTCCTCAGAACTCCAGATTTGGAACCCAACTTCTCACACTCCCTTAGGAAAAATAAGGGGGGGGTGGAGAAGAGGGGGTGGGGACGCGAAAAGCACAGAGGGGGGCCCACGTGTCCCCCCCAAGCATCCAGCTGCTGCGGCGCCGGCGTCCACCTCCTCGCCCACACTGACCAGTCCCCTCCGCCAGCCAACACCGGGTCAGTAAGACTCGCAGTATGTCGCAAAGAAATCGTGTCTAAGTGGCCCTGGCTGGGCTTCCTCACAGCCAGTCCCATCACCAGAGTCTAAACATGCAGACAGTAAAGCAAGACACTAACGCCTTCACCAGCTCCCTGAGCAGGAAGGCGCCTACAGTGAAAACCGTAGGCAAGCAGCCAGGTGACACTCCCGAGGTCTCGCCTCACTTGGGAAGCCTCCCCAGGGCAGACGGGCTGGAAACAAGCCCTGCCCTCATGTGGGTCAAAGCTCAGAGTGCGCCTTATTCCCGCCCAGAAATCCCAAGTTTTGCTGGGGGGCAGGAAGGGTGCGGGCAGGCACCCAGGAGCATGCCCGCCTGAGGTTGCCAAGGCACAAGTTTCACTGCAGAAATGAGAGCCCCCACCTCCCTGGGAGCCCAGTGTGCCCTAGAAAGAAACTCAGTAATTCTCCCTCTCTACTCAGTCAGCACCCCTCTCCCCTCCTCAGGAGTCACCAAATCACTTCGCCCCGGATGCCCTCACGCATTCATTACTGGGCATGGCGACCGGTCTGCCCTTTTCCTGGGTCGTGTCTGCCGGCTGCAGCGGCAGCTCTTGGGGAGCTTCGCCTGGCAGGTTAACTTCGGCCCTTCCAGTATTCGCACAGACGCCCCACTCCGTGCCTGGGCCCCGAGAGCTCAAATCAGCAGCGGCTCACACCGGCAGGCTGGCGCCTCCGGGCTGTGCCATCCAGACCCGCGCACTGGATTTATTCTCCGAGTTTCCCAACGCCCCGGTTACCCACTCCAAGTAGCTGCCGGTGGGCAGTGGTGCCCACCGTGTGAGGAGGCCGGCGGGCGGGAGGTGGGTGTCTCCTGCAAGAGGGCGCCTCCCCGCCGGGGCAGTGACCCCTCGGAGGCGCCGGCCCCGTCGGGGAGGCTGGGCGCTCCGG